AGCAACAAAACAAAAAAAAAAAAGAGCTAGTACTCTTATAGTACTAGCTATGCTCTAAAATCCAATTCTGATTCCAAGATTCAATCCTGGCGAAGCACAAAACTTGCAAGAAGAAATAAAAACATTAGTAACACATTAAAAACAACAAGAAACAACAAAAAAAAAAAAGAGCTAGTACTTGTCTTATAGTACTAGCCACGGCTCTAAAATCTAATTCTGATTCCAAGATTCAATCCCGGCGAAGCACAAAACTTGCAAGAAGGAATAAAAATATTAATAACACATGAAAAACAACAGGGAAAAGAAAAAAAGAGCTAGTACTTATCTTATAGTACTAGTCACGGCTCTAAAATCCAATCCCAGTGTAGTACAAAACTTGCAAGACAGAAAGAAAAACATTAGTAAAACAAGAAAAACAAAATAAGAAACAACAGCAACAAACCAAAAAAAAAAAGAGCTAGTGCTCTTATAGTACTAGCTGTGCTCTAAAATCCAATTCTAATTCCAAGATTCAATCCCGGTAAAGCACAAAACTTGCAAGAAGAAATAAAAACATTAGTAACACACAAAAAACAACAAGAAACAACAACAAAAAAAAAGAGCTAGTACTTGTCTTATAGTAGTAGCCACGGCTCTAAAATCCAATTCTGATTCCAAGATTCAATCCTGCGAAGCACAAAACTTGCAAGAAAAAATAAAAACATTAGTAACACATGAAAAACAACAAGAAAAAGAAAAAAAGAGCTAGTACTTATCTTATAATACTAGCCACGGCTCTAAAATCCAATCCCGGTTCCAAGATTTAATCCCGAAGCATAAAACCTGAAAGAAAAAAAAAAATCCAATTCCAGTTCTAAGATTTAATTCTGGCAAAGCACGAAACCTAGAAGAGAAAAAACGTTAGTAATATACGAAAAATGACAACAAGAAACAAGACAAGCAAAAAAAAAATGCTCTAGTACTTATTATAGTACTATTCCAGTTCCGAATCTAAGTTCTCAATTCCAATTTCGTTAATCTTTTCCAGCGAAGTACATACTTACAAAAAGAAGAAAACGTTAGTAAAATACAAAAAAAAAAAACAAAAAAAAAATATCTAATACTTATACCAGTTCCCAGATCTAAATCTTAATGCTAGTTTTATTCACTTTTTGGCATAAGCACAAACTCAAAAAAAAAAAAATTAAAAAAAATTGAACAGCTAAAAAAGAAAAAGATCTAAAAACTTTTTATAAAGATTATCATAATCAAATAAAGATTTACTTCACGTATGACATCATATCTTACGCGAAAATAAATTTAATTGATATATACATAGCAGGTAGAATATTTTATGATTTATATCAAGGCAACAAAAACAATATATAACAATAATATTCTAATAATCGCTATATAGCAAAAATGTCGATAGACTATCGATTAATAATGATAAAAAATAATTTGATAAAAATCGATATAACACTAATATCAATATAAAGCGAAAATAAATATAGCGATATTTATCGATAATCTGATAATAAACGATAAATAACCATATATGGTATATGTCAAAAATTTTGCTATATTGCGATATATAAAATATTATCGTTATATATCAAAATTTATATCTGAGCTAATATGTGATATATAGCCATAATTGATTTGTATCGATATAAATTCAATTGATGATTATCGATTTCTAGATATGTAATGATATATTTCTATTTTCGATATATATTGATTCTTTGTTATATACTGATATATAATCTATTTTATTGATATATAACATTATTTTCTAATTGATATATATCGATTTACTGCAATATATTGATATGTATCTATATAAAAAATTTTCTGATGAAATCCACTTGCAAAACTAAATAACCAATAAAATCAAACCTAACATTAACCTAAATTAGCCATTAGGAAATCAACTAAAAGATGCAACAACATTTAGTTAACTTGGTGCCATTTATCTTATGATGAAGAATCGTCTACAGGCTTAGACAAATCATTAAGCATTAAGTTAGACATGAATGTTAACAGTATGTTAGCAAACCAAAAGACATATGCATTGTGGGGTAACATGTCATATACGTAAGGAATCACTGTAGATTTACATAAATTACTAATGAAGCACAGGCAGTGAGCTGACGAGATGCTACTTATTATATGAGGATAAGCTTAAACAAATATAAGACAGTCGAATGCCAATATAGATTATTAACCCAACAAATATGACCGGTGTACATGTATTGACATTTTCAGCTAATAGGGCATACATGCCAAGAAAGACACTTTATTATAGTTACAGGATCAGTCACCAATGATTACTGTAATTAATGATACAACATACCTTTAACCAGAGTTGCACGTCATATCTATCTACCTTAACTGTCTCAGATACCACAGACAATGAACTATATGGAATGGAATTAACATGCCACGATCCACTAATCAGCAGTTGAAACAAACCTGAGCATGAACAATCCTGACAACTTGCTATTCAGACTAGAGCACTCACAGCACTCTTTAGGAAACTATTAATTAAATCACATAGGATGCATCTTAAAACTTGAGAAGACAGCATCGTTCACAACACCTTAAACAAACATAAGACAGTTGAATGCTCTATATAGATGATTGACCCAACAAAGATGACTGATGTACATGTATTGGAAGTCAACATGACATTTCCAACTAATAAGGCATATAGTCACTTTATTATAATTACAGGATCAGTCAACGATGATCAATAAACGATCTCAAAATCATACCTACCAAGTGCTAAGGTAACAAGCCATACTTTCTATGATCGAAGAACTACAGAATTAGTACGGCAAAAACCTTTAGCTCAAAGCTCTGGAAATAGTTGTCAGATGAATTCCACAATGTATTCGAACATACCCTTCGAAGGCAATTGCAACTAATGCAAGTATATTCTGATTAACGATCGTCATTTTAATCTTTGGGACCTGATTGTCATCAGAATAAATTACAAGCAGATTACTTTATGCCAGGCATATTGAATGACTACACTACACAAATTCTAAGCACTATTGACATACAATAGCAACTGTGCTACCAACACCAAA